ACACGACGAAGAATCGAACAAGACTGTGTTGCCGGCCCTCGCGGCGCTGCCACGTGACGAGAGGAGCGGACTGGCCCGTCTTCGCCAGCCCAGGCGCTGCCGCGCGCCGAGCGGGGCGGGGTGGATGCGTTCGGCCACCGCGGTGCTGTCGCGTGCCAGGGCGCGCGCTGCATCGCAGCACGCTGCCTTGCAGCGCAATGCATTGCGGTGCGTCGCATGCGCACGGCGTTGCGCTGCGTTGCGCTGCATGAGCGTGAGAGCGGCAAGTCGCGCGGGCGGGCGCGCGGGCCGGCGGGCAGGCGGGCGGGCGGGCGGGCGGGCTGGCGCCTGCGGACGTGCGCGCGGGCCAGCGCGCGGGCAAGCGAACTCGCGAATGGGCGAACGGGCGGGCGTCGTCGCCGTCGCCGTCCCCGTCGTCTTTGTCGCCCATGTGGCGGTGGTCGTCGTCGTCCTCCCCATCGTCCTCCACCTCTTCCGCCTCCCTCTCGCGACACCCCTCCCGCCCCCCCTCCCGCATTCCCTCTCCGTCCTCGTCCGCCCTCTTTCCTCCCTCCTCTTGCCATGCTTCCCCCTTTCTCCTCTCTCCTCTCCCCGTCCTCCGTCTTCCGTCGCCCCTCCTCCTTTCGCACCACTCCTCTCCTCTCTTCTCCTCTTCACTCCTTTCGCAATCTCTGTCCTCTTCCTCGTCCTACTTTTTCATGTCTCCCCATCCCCAGGAGCTTCGAGGGACCAATGGGCGGGACCAACTGGATTTGAGTTCTTTGCTACCACCTTGAAATGCTGACACGCTCGGGGCGGTGCTTGACTAGAACGAACGGGATGGGTCTTGGTCTGCGCGCTTCGGACAGGAGGACGGAGGCTGGAGCGCTTGGAACGGCGCTTGACTGGAGGCTAAGCCCTGCAGCATGGCGATGGTGCGGTGTGCGCTTGATCCGGTGCTAGCTCATGCCTGCAACCGACTGGCGAGCGGGAGCCGATCATCTAGCACCTTTACCTCACCCTGGGCGCGGCCAAGCCCTGTTGTGCGCGATTGTTTTCCTCTTCCTTGAAGCTCACGAACGGGGCTCGAGTAGCGCGCGCGGGACGGAGCACTCACCAGCTAGTCATACTCATACAAGCCTCGTCAAAAAAAGAAGACTTCTGAATTCGGTGATTGTGGGAACAGCGCTACTCCAATGGTGACGGATGCCTGTTGACTCGGACGCGGTGTTGTCAAAAAATCGGCCCCACCCTCTCAGCATGGAAGAACGCGCTTTCTGGCGAGTGCCCGAAAGCATCGTGCTTCAGGATTTCAACTTCCATGTCTGGGTATGTCTGACGAGGCTCGTAGGTACAGCCGTTCAGGCACCCCCTTGTTTCGAGGCCCCAGCCCACGCGCCTGCCGCGGCCATTGGCGCGCTCAAGTGGCGGGCCCAAGTGGCGGGGCCAATTGGCGGGGCAAAGTGGTTGAGGCTCCGATTCGTTGGCCCCTGCATGAGATCCTCGCTGCCAGCCCATCATTGGTAAACATTGTGCCGCCAACCGTCGCAGCCAGATCTTCGCTTTAGTTGGGGATGTGGTCCTTCTACTCGTTTTTCTCATCTTGTCCATTCATCCTCCTGTTCGCGCTGTTTTTCTTGTCACCTCGTCGTCCAATTCGCCCTTCAATTCGCCCCGCCCATTGGCCCAATTCGCCCCGCAATTTGCCCCGGATGCGTTTCCAATTTGCCCCGGCCACGGATTCAATTTGCCCCAGCAGCGAAAATGAATTTGCCCAAACTGCACGTTCAATGCGATGGTGACGATGTCGGTACCGCATGCGCGCCAGTAGATACCGTGTATGTTTGGCAATGCAGGGCTTGCATGTGTTACAAGACATAACGCCCTCGCATAGCGAGTATGTTGCAGACACCGATGTAAAAATGACACTGAGTACAACTCTGATAACACAAATCGTACGCAGGCGACAATTCAGATCGCTGTGACGAGATCCCTCTGGCCAACTCTGCGAGCGGAGCCATGTGCTGCAAACGGGTGACGTAATCTGCAAAAGGCAGACTGGCAAACAAAAACTTGCAAGCATCCGAAGGCACGATACTGTTCCTCCTTCCGAATGACCGCAAAAAGGTCAAAAGTTGAAGGCCCGGAAATGGGCACCAACATCAACACAGGGGGTTGCCTTCACAGGGGGAAGATGATCCTCGATTTCGGTGTTGGTGGTAATATTTCGAACCTTGGAAGCCAAACAAAAATACCACCATCACCGAGATCGGGATCTTCTTCCCTCGGTGGAGTCACACGGCCAATCTTGGTGTTGATGTCAACCTCTAGGCCTGCGAAAAAGGTCAACCAACCGAGCGACCGACCTGCCAACCAACCAACCAACCTATCAAGCAGCGCAAGCAGCCAAACAACCGACCGAACGATCGACCGACCGAGCAAGCGTCCGACCAACCAGCAAACCAACAAAACGACCAACCAACCAACCAACAACCGACCGACCACTAAACCAACCAACCGACCGACGAACCAACCAACCAACTGGCCGACGAACCAGCCAACCAACAAACTTACCAACCAACCAACCAACCAACCAGCAAGCAAGCAAGCCAACCAACCAACCAACTAGCCGACCAACCGACCGCCCAACCAATCGACCGACCGACGAACACAACCAACCAACCAACCAATCAACCGACCGACCAACCACCCAACCAACCGACCGACCGACCAACCAACCAACCAACCAACCGATCGACGAACCAGCCAAACAACCAATAAACCAACCGAACAACCAACCAATCGAACAACCGACCGAGGAACCAACCAACCAACCAATTATTCAACCAACCAACCAACCAACCAGCCAGCCAGCCACCCAGCCAGCCAGCCAGCCAGCCAGCTAGCAAACCAATCAACCAACCAACCAACCAACCAACCAACCAACCAACCAACCAACCAACCAGCCAGCCACCCAGCCAGCCAGCCAGCCAACCCACCGACCAACCGACCGACCGACCGACCAGCCAATTCTGGCACACCCCTCACACGGATCGCGCCTCGGGGACTGGGAACAATTTCTTTGAACCTCAAATAACATATTCTTGAACCATCAGGAAGAGAAAACAAACAAAAATGGAACCATCAGAAACACATGTATTGAACCTGCTCCCCGCCCGAGCGCGGTGGCAGAATCGCACGACAGCGCGATACTGGATGCACGTCCGCTTCCCCCGCTACTGTCCATGCATCGCCTCCTGCTGCATGAGCGCAGTCAATCCTACGTCCTAGCGCATTGGATCCTGACAGTGGGGCCGCAATCATTCTGTTGGACGAGTCAGTGACGTGCGCATCCGTGTCAGAGGCTGGGCATGAATCTGCCCTGGCGCACGGGGCCAGCGGTGCCACGGTCGGCACGCATTCTGCGAGAAGAGGGACGGAGGGGCCGCTTGAGGCCCCAGCACTGAGCGCGGTTGCCATGGCACACATCCCGGCCCTCGACGGGTCAGGAGGTGTTGGGGCTATCCTCGTGGCCGTACTCGCCACGATCATGACCATCATCGATTTCTCTATATCTTCATTACCATCAGCAGCATCATCACCATCATCAGTATCATCACCATCATCGGCATCATCAGCATCATCATCAGCAGCATCGTCGTCATCATCATCATCAGCATCATCATCAGCAGTATCATCACCAGCATCATCATCAGCATCATCACCATCAGCGTCAACATGATCATACTCACCATCATCATCGTCTTCATCTTCAGCATCAGCATCATCGTCATCACCATCGGCATCAGCATCCTCAGCAGCATTATCAGCATCATCAGCAGCAGCATCATCATCAGCGGCAGCAGCAGCATCAGCATCATCAGCATCATCATCAGCATCATCACAACCATCGTCATGAACGGTCATGATCTGTCCCTACCACGGGGATAGGAAGTAGCAAGATAACAAGCCTGATGGCGAACCAGAGGAGGACAGGAGACAATCACTTAGGAATGAGGTCAACGTCACAAACCTTAGGCCATGCATGGGCGGCTATACGGTTCAACTTGTATTGCCCACGGGCGGTAAAACGTCGGGTGAAGCGCGGCGGGGGGGGGGAACGAGGAGGCGGGTAAGCAGAGGGAGAACGAGTGTGAGAGCGAGATGGTGGAGGAGGAAAAAAAGGTGGGGGAAGGAGGAAGGTCACTACTGGGTGGGCTGAGGAGTTGGAGGAAGGACAACAGGGATCGGAGAAGGCCACGGGAAGTCGGGCAGAGGAGCAGCTGCGGCACCAGGATGTGGAGAAGAGGAGCGATAACGTGGATGACGACGAGGAGCTAGACGAGCGGCTGCAGATACACCATGGCTGGGTGTGGGTCTAGGTTCGGTCGCCGTCAATTGCTCCTCATCCTCGCCACCCTCCCTCATCATCGATGGCCCTCTCATCCTGGTCCGCGTGATTACCCCCTGTGCATCCACACCACATGTTGCGTCATCATGCTACTGATCCCGATCGTTGTCGCCATCGTCCTCCCCGTGATCCCCCATACTCCTCTGCTTCCTCCTCAATATCATCAGGATCGCCACCTCTCTCCTACAACTCCGTATCCCCCTACTCTCCTGATCTTGCTCCCGCCGCCTACTCCTCCACCCTGCCCCTCCTTATGCTCCTCCTCCTCCTCCTCCTCCTCCTCCTTCTCCTCCTCCTCCTCCTCCTTCTCCTCCTCCCCCTCCTCTTCATAGCCATCACGCTCCGTCAAACTTCCAAGGCTGCCCTCTAGCCGTCTAGCTTGCCTGGCGTGTTCCATCGCCCATACGAGAGCTCAGACAAGTTCTCCACATCCTCACCGTCTTCCTCCTCCACCTCAGCGTCTCTGTCTTCGTTGGCAGGGCCCCTGCTACAACTACCACTGAGATCGTTGTGCTCTCATCTCGTCTTCCGCACCGTGCCGGCAGCGGAATGCAAGGTCTACGAGCCGCGTCTGCGAGGCCTGGCGGCGCTCTGCCGCGAGGCATTCGGCACGTTCAGCGGGATGCGGAAGATGTTCATCACGCTGCCCTGCTGAGCATCGGGAATCACCTGCGGGCCAGGGCCGCGAGCGCAGCGAGTCCCCATCTTCCTGCGCGTGCTCGCCCGCGAGCGCCGCAGCGGAGCCCCTCCCCCCCAGATTGCTGTTTGACCTCCCGCGCTGTGGCGATGGCTGCCTGGTCGCGGCGGAGGCCCGTGGAGCCAGCGCCCCCACCGCCAGGACAGGCGCTCTGTCGCGGGTGGGTCCGAGACAACTCCGGAGGAGGCAGAGGTAGGAGGAGAAGAGGTTGGGGGAGGAGGAGGAGGAGGAGGAGGAGGAGGAGGAGGAGGAGGAGGAGGAGGAGAGGTTAGAGGAGGAGGAGGAGAGGGAGGAGGAGGAGGAGGAGGAGGGGGAGGAGGAGGAGGAGGAGAAGAGGTTGGAGAAGGAGGATGAGGAGGATGAGGAGGACGACGAGGAGGAGGAGGAGGAGGGAGGCAGGGGGGGGGGGGCGAGGGGACGCATATACTATTAAGATTTCTCGGTGCGCGCGCCGCCCCTGGGGGGGGGCGACGCACATATAGTATAAGTATGTTGGGGTGACGCCGATGGAGGAGGACCCGAGCAAACTCAAGACGCACCAACAACGCTGCCGTCAATGATGCGTCCAGGTTTGCTCTTCGCGGGTCCCCGCAAAATGTCACCCTCACTGCGGGAAGTGCCCTGTTGAAAGACAAGTGCCCGAGAATCCCCCACGGCGCCCAAACACCGTTTCTGGGCCTTCAACGCCGCGAATCAACGTGATTGTTGCGTCCTGACAGTCCTAAACCGTGCCACGACACAATTCCAATTCAGAACCGCGATTGGCTGTGAATTGTGACTGTTGCGTTTTGACAATCTCCATTCGTGCCAGAACACCATTCCTGGGACTTCAACCATGCGAACCCTTGAAACCACCGTAAAAGTTTGAAACGAGTGTGCACAGCGCTAAAGCGGGAACCGCATGTCGAAAACGGCCCGCCATAGACCATGGAAACTGCTGCCAACGTTTGAAACGAATGTAGGCGGCGCTAGAGCGAGAGCCACATTTTGACAACGGCCCGCCCTCCATCCTTGAAACTGCTGCGAGTTCCAAGCTCTCAGCCCCCCCCCCCAAAAAAAAATGGCAGGGGAATCGCATGCGAAACGCCCAGCCTGCCCTGCCAACACGACTGGGGGTGCGACAGGGAGGAGTATTTTCCCCTTTTTAACAATGGAGGAGGAGGAAGCCTCCTCGCCGTCGCTATTCTTCCCTCTCCCGACGCTCAGATCCGCCGCGGCCTACCTGACCCGAACGATGCCTCACCCTCCCACGCGGCGAGTTCGCCGAGGCTTGACCTGAACCCGCCCGCATCATCAGCGTGAGGAGGAGGGGGCGGGGGGAAGCAGGCCCAGACCTGCGATGATGGGCGCGTCTTCCACCACCACTACCATAGGTAGGAGAGGGGGAGGACGGAGGAGGGGGAGGTCCTCCTCCTCCTCCTCCTCCTCCTCCTCCTCCTCCTCCTCCTCTCCTCCTCCTTCCCCTCCTCCTCCTTCCCTCCTCCCTCCTCCTCTCCTCCTCCTCCTCCTCCTCCTCCCTCCTCTCCTCCTCCTCCTCTCCTCCCTCCTCCTCTCCTCCTCCTCCTCCTCCCTCCTCCTCCTCCTCCTCCTCCTCTCCATCCTCCTCCTCCGCCTCCTCCTCCCTCCTCCTCCTCCTCCTCCTCCTCCTCCTCCTCCTCCTCCTCCTCCTCCTCCTCCTCCTCCTCCTCTCTCCTACCTATGGTAGTAGTGGTGGAAAATCGGCCCAGACCTGCGATGTCCAGAATTTGTCAGCACGGAGTCCCCGGAAGCCTCGACCCATTCCCCAGGGCCGGCGTCTGATCGCGAATCGCTTTCTGACAGTCTCGGGGCCTGGCGAGGGCCCCCGGAGGCCGAAAGCGGCCAAAAGCCGTCCGCCGTTACGTTTTCACAGCACGAGCATGCCCGGGGAGGAGGCGGGGGGAAGCAGGAGGGGCGAGGGGGGCGAGGCCGCCTTCGAGCGCAGGAGGCCGGCGCAGGGGAAGAAGGCGCCGACGCAGGTCTCGAAGACGCAGAAGCTGCCCAGCACGGAGACCAGGTCCGAGTTCCAGACCGGGACCGTCAGGGAAGCCGCCCCGACGAGGAAGATGCCTGTACGCTGGAGGCGAGGGCGGGGGGTCCCCGAGATCTGGGCGTGCTGCATTTTTTTACGCAACGGGTTCGGGTTCGCCCAGTCTCAGGCCCTGGGACCACCACAGATCGATCTGGCTCCAGAGATGCAGCAGAGAAAGAGGGGTCCCAGGCCTCTGGTCGAGATTTTTCGCGATGCTGCAATGTTCCGCAGCGTCGGATCTCAGGGGGGGAGGGGGGAGGGAGAGCGGAGGGGGCGGAGAGGGGGGGGGCGGGGGAAGACGGAACCTGCAAGATTGGCGCGCTCGCGCCGTATCTGACATCATGCCCCTCTTTCCCGTCCCCTGCAGTGGAGCTGGGCCCCCTCCGTTCGCAGGGTCGACTGTCGAAGAAGGCATAGATCCCGAAAGGGCAGCTTGGTCAAGGAGGGCCCCGAAGATCAAGAGATAGGATGGTCATGAAGAAGTCGGAGGGGAGATGCGAGGGACATGAAGGAGGCGAAGGGGCGGAGGAGGGAAGAGGAGCATTGACAGACAGGGCAGGAAGTAGGACGGAGGAAGGCGACTAGGAAGGCAAGAAGTCCTTCTACGGTTGGTCAGCCTTGAAACGCAAGCTACATGTCTGCTGGTGCAAGAGTACGGCCGGCGCTGCCGCAAGCGCGGCGGTCCATTGGACGGAGGCTCCATGGAAAATCACAAACGTGGCAAGCGCTTCAGCGGTAGCACAACTCTTGCTGAAGCAAGAATACGGCCAGCGGTTCGGCGAGAGCGAAGTTCGGTTGGGCGGGGACGCGACGGAAACTCCTAAGTGTGGCCAGCGCCCCAGCCAGAGCACAACACGCAAGGGGCCGAGAGCGTTCACTTGTTTTTACCGCGGAAAGCAAGCCTCACTCCCATGCGGCGCAGCGGAGAAGCGTGAAACGGGAGGCGGAGGAGGAGACGACGTACCCAGAGGCGGAGGAGGAGGACAGCGCAGAGACCGCAAGCAGGGGCCAAAGAGGGCCTCCCCAGGGGCACCGGGAAATCACTGACATGATCTGCCACCGTGCCCCCTGGCACGCTGATTCGGGTGACCCAAACGGGGGGTCCAGCGGAAAGGGGGTGGTGCAATATATTTGGGGCAACTGTATTGCAAATGTATTACGCTGGAGACTTGTATTGCATTGCATTGCAAGTATGTATTGCACGCGAAAGTCCAGCAATACATGTGCGCCCCAGGATGTATGCACGCCCAAAAGCGTATTTCAACCCCACAAATCTATGGCACCAAATCTGTTGCACCACCCCTTGGTCGCTGGACCCCCCTTGGGATCAACCCGAGTTGAAGCGTGGTAGAATCCAAAAACTGTCTGGCAAGAGTTCTTCGGGGATGGGCAGAACCCCCTGTAGCAAAACGTGTTTTAGTGAAAACGACCTCGGGCCCAAGCTTGGCGGGCGCAAACCTGGAAAATGACGGCCGCGGCGCCCTCTCGAGAACCGAAAACGGACAATTCACTAATCGACGTGTCAGGGTGAAGGTTCTGTCCACCCCCGAATTCTGTAATCTTCAAGCCCCCCGCCTCCGGGTCAAGCTGAAATGACACCCCCCCTTTCCTTTTTGACGACCTACCAGACACCCCCACCCAAACCCGAAGACCCGAATTTCGGGGTGGGGCCGGTGCGGGCTCCATATGTATTTTCTCAATTTTCCCCGACACACAAACACACACACACACACACACACACACCTGGAAATGGAGGGCGAATTGGGGCCTTCAGGATGGTGTTGTGGAGGTTTGGTGGACGGCGACCTTTTGAGGGGTTGCTTGGTTGAGTTTGGGTTGGGGTTGTTTGGTTGATTTGGCGCACGCCCCCGAGGCCACGATCCAATCACAAAACCGTTGGTTTGCCCTCTCGGCACCACGACCCCTCGTTGTAATGATATATTCCAATAATATGTATATACACATATAATTGTACCCAGCTATGTAAAACACACCCAACAATATATATATATATATATATATATATATATATATGAAAACTGGCCCGCGCTGCCCGAGGCCGCGGCCCCTCGCCCAGAAAAATGCGCAGATCCGCACTGGCCTGCAGCAACACTTGGCCCGAGCTCCCGGGTGTCCAAGCTGGCCGAAGCAGGCAGCCAAGGCCTCCCCCCAAGATGGCCCAATACGGTCTTCCCTCATTATCATTATCCTCCTCCTCCTTCCTCCTCATCCTCCTCTTCCTCCCCCTGCTCCTCCTCCTACTCCTCGTCATCAACATCATCATCACCATCACCATCATTATAATCATCATCATCATCGTCATCATCATCATCATCACCATCCATCATCACCATCAGCATCATCATCATCATCATCATCTTCCTCCTCTTCCTCAACCTCCTCCTCCTCCTTCCTCCAGCCTCCACGGCGAATTCCTTAACCAATGCCCCCACCGTATTAGGTGGCCACATGTGAACCCCACCCCCACCCCCCACCCCCCACCCCCCCACCACCACCCCACGATACCTAAGGGAGAAAGTACCAACAAAAACTTGGGGTTCTTGTGGCACCCCCCGCCCTCTATTCATTTATTTGCAGCGAGAAGACAGTGGGACAGAAAGTACGGATGCACATGAGGAAGGAAGGGAAGAAGGAGGAGGAGGAGAAGGGAGGGAGGGAGGGAGGGAGGAGGAGGAGGAGGAAGAGGAGCAGGAGGAACAGCAGGAGGATGAGGAGGAGGGCGAGGAAGAGGAAGAGGAGGAGGATGAGGAGGAGGGCGAGGAGGAGGACGACGACGACGAACAGGAGGAGGAGGTGGAAGATAAGGAGAAGCAGGGACACGGAAGGATGAGGAAGGAGGAAGGCGGAGGAGGGGGAGAACAAGGAAGAGGAGGAGAAGGAGGAAAGAAATGAAAAAGCAGGAGGAGGAGGAGGAGGAGGAGGAGGAGGAGGAGGAGGAGGAGGGGGGGAGGAGGGAGGAGGGAGGAGGGAAAAGAGGACAAGGAGCAGGAGTCGGAAGAGAAGTCGGAGGAGGAGAAAGAGAAGGAGGAACATAATCATCTGCGCTCAGAGCAGATGCAGAAGACGTTTCGAACGATTTGCCTGAACAGCGCGGCAGACAAGGACTCTGCCCTCCGAGGTCGACGAAGACGTTGACGACAGCGGCAGCGGCGACGGCGGCCACGACGACCACGGCGGCAGCGACGACGTCTATACATCCGTTGTGCAATTGAGTCCGCTCGCTTTCTCTCTCCTTTCACGGTGACCCGGGTCGCTCCCCTGGCCGCGGAAAGTGGCCAAAGGGGGGCGACAGGGGCGGGCGACAGAGGTTGAACAGATCTCCTGTCTCCTTTCAAGGTGACCCGAGTCGCTACCCTGGCCGCGGAGCGCGGTCAAAGGGGAGCGACAGGGGCGGGCGTCAGAGGTTGAACCGATCTCCTCTCACCTGTCATGGTGACCCGAGTCGTTCCCCTGGCCGCGGAGCGCGGTCATGGGGGAGCGACAGAGGCGGGCGTCAGCAGTGTCGACTATAGTGAGGATGTTTGTGGGGTGGGCCCAAATACTTTGGTGGCCCTTCTGACTCCAGACGGCGACACGCTATGATTCCAAGTTGGCTGCTGGCCGTCGTGCTACCGTTCTTTTCCCAGACCTTCGTTCTCGCCCTAGGTACTGAGCTGGCTGCTCGCCAGACCTCCCAAGGTAGATGCTAGCTACCGCGCTCTTCGCGCCCCTGCAATGGAAAAAGATCGTTCCCCGAATGTGTTCGCAATTGGTAGAACGCGCGGGAGATGATGAAGACTGGCTGAAATTAAGTGGACGGGGGGAGTATGATAACATGCCCCCTTCAACATGAAATTTTTTAGGTTTGGGTGTCATCCCCGCCGTCTCCACGGCACTCGCAGGCCCTGTGAACGCAGGAATTGCTGTCGTTGTAGCGCGTATAAGAAAATGAGGACGCGAAGGGGAGAAATAACAATAAACAAAGCCTACGACGATAAAGGAGAATATCGCAGGCCATCTTCCCTTCAACTTGAAGATGGTCGAGTTTAGTGGGTGTCTGCGCCGTCTTCACGACGCTCATAGGCCATGAAGTGCATGCGGGCATTGCAGCGCTTGTAAGAAAAGGATCCAGGTGGCACTCGGAACAAAAGCATCCTACAGCGCGCGGCCTTGCTAATAATCCTGTTGTATTTCGCCACAAGACAAATCGCGGTGCATGCCGCCATAGAATGAAGTCTATTGCATTCGGGTTCAGATTGAAGCCCATTGCGTTATGCGATAAGACGAAATCGATTGTGTTCCGGTACGCCAGGAATCTGCTTCGCCATAAAAGCGGTTCTAGTGCATTCGGCTTCAACATACATCAGATGGTCTTGCGCAGCAGAAGGAATCCTACTGCATTCTGGGCACAGAACTTTTCAATGAAAACATTCAGAAAAGCCTGCGCTAGCACAGTTGGCACAGGTGTTTTGAATTGAAAATGTTGTTTTCGCATTGCCAGGCACAGTTATCACAGATGTTTTAAAGATCTCCCACCTATGGATATGATTCCAACTTCCCACGGATGGCAAATCATAGAAGAATATGTGCTAACTGTGCCTGGAAATACGAAAACAATATTTACATTCAAAAACAGATGTGCCAACTGTGCCTGCGCAGGTTGTTGTTTTAAAAAATGGGTTGAAAAGTTATGTGTCAACTGTGCTGTGTCAACTGTGCCCGCACATATTCTCTGAACGGTTGCCATTCTGAAAATGCGTTTCGCTTGTGCCTGCACAGATCTTTATAGGATTTGGGCAAGTTTTAGTTCTGGCAGAAAGAACGTTCCCGCTGATGGAAAACCCTTACATATAGTGTGCTCACTGCGCCTGGCCATACGAAAACAACATTGTCATTCAAAACTTATGTGCCAAATGTTCCCGAGCAGGTTTTTCTGTTTGTATTGAAAAGTTATGTGCTAACTGTGCCTGCACCGATTTTCTTAACGGTTGCCCTTCTGAAAATGGGTGTCGCTTGTGTCTGCACAGATCTGTAAAGGATTTAGGCAAAATTTAGCTCTGGCAAGAAGAACGTTACCATAAATTGAAAATCTTTCTTAAACAAAAAACAAAAAAGTTCGAACTGCCCCTGACCATACGAAAACAACATTTTCCATTCAAAAACATATGTACCAACTGTGCCTGCGCAGGCTGTTCTTAATGTTTGTACTGAGAAGTTCTGTGCTAACTGTGCCAGCGCATGGTTTCTAGATGAATGTCTTAATTTCAATAGGATTCCTCCTGTGGTAGAATACAGAAGGATCCCTTTTGTTTCCGAATGAAAGAGCATCATCCCTGTGGCGGAGCACAGAAGGATTGTGTCACAATGCGGAAACGATTTCTGTTGTGGCGGATACGGAGGGTGATTTTGCATATTACGGAAAAACCATAGGGAAGGTGCCAAAAGAACCAGCAGGTTCTTTGGGGCCCCTCTATGATTTCTAAGGGGGGGTGGGGGTTCACTCCGCTCGGGACTTTCCGAGCGAAATGAACCCCCACCCCCAACCCGTAGAAATCGTGGCGGGTGGGGGTAGGGCTCACATGTGGCCACCGAAAAATGCCTCCAAGACGGCCCAGGCCCCAGATGGCATCGAGACGGCCCAGGAGGCTCCCAAACACGACCCAAGAAGGTCGCCAGAGGACCCCCAGCAGGGCCCGAAGAGGCGAAAAGCATTCATTCCTGGTTGGTTTTGGAAAAATCTAGCGTCTTCGTCTTTTCGGCAGCTGCAGACGGCCCTAGAGGCCTCGAAGATGGCCCCAAGACGGCCCAAGAGGGCCCACAAATGGCCCAACTGACTTCCAAGACATCCTCAAGACAGCCCGAGAGTATTGCTCCTAGACGGCACAGGGCGGCCCCAAGAAAGCCCCAGCTGGCCAAAGAGGGCCTCTGGACGGCCCGAGACGGCCAAAAGACGGCCCCGACCACCCAGACGGCCAATAGTGCCCCAAGACGGCCCAAGAGAGCACCACAAGAGCCCAAGAGTGCACCAGAGTGGTCCAAAGTCGACCCACAGACCCGCAAGACTTCCGCACCGGAGCCCAGGAAAAAATCTGAAGAAAGGGAAGACTACGATTAGGCCGGGCATGTCCCCCTACAGGCGGATTTTGGGCGAAAAACTAAAAATACTCGAAACATGCCCCACCATAGTCACAAAAATGTCGAAACATCGCCCCCGGGCGATTTGTTTGACTGTGTTGGAATACTCCTCTTGTAGAGGGGCGTGCCCGACTTAAGACTACGACGGGGACAAGAAAAGAACCCCCGACACAGCACGGAAGACTGCGTCACGTGCCGCGGCGCTCGGGACACGAGGTGTCACCCAGCACGGCCGCCCGTGCGCCCGCCGAGCAGGCACCAACCCAGGGCGCTGGGCTGGCACGGCAGCGGGGCTTGCGACAGGCAGCTGGATAAGGAGGGGGTGGAGGGAGAAAGGGAGGGAGGGAGGGAGGGAGGGAGGTTGCTGCTGCTGAAGGGGGAGGGAGGGAGGGAGGGAGGGAGGCAGGCAACGCGCAGAATGAGCGAGGAGGCAGGCTGCAGGATGCGGGAGGCAGGGGGGAGGGCGGGAGGCAGGAGGCAAAGGGGGGTAGAAGAGGGGAGAAGAACAGGAGAGGAAGGGAGGCAGGCAAGGGAAGGGAGGAGAGGGAAGGAGGCAGGCAGGGAGGAGGGCCGCACGCCCACGAGCGCCGCGCTCCCAGGCCGCAGCGCCCCCGGCGCGCGGGCGGGGAGCATCAGTGGGGGAAGGACGGGGGGGAGGGGGGGACGAGGGCGCAGTGCAGGCGGGAAGGGGAGGGGAGGCGGGAGGCGGGGAGGGGAGGAGAGCAGGAGAGGGGGAGGGGGTGTGGAGGTCACGGCGGTGGCCTACGGCAATCTTCTCCGCGGACATGAGGCTGAGCAGGAGGCTCGGGGAGAACAGCAGCCCTCCGAGGGAGATGCAGACCGTCAGGGCGGCGAACACGAGCCCTGGGAGGAGAGGCGCGGGGGCCCTCACCATCCTTCCTCTTCTGCATCCTCCTCTTCCCCCTCCTGGTCCTCCCCCTCCTCCCCCTCCTCTCCCTCCTCCTCCTCCTCCTCCTCCTCCTCCTCCTCCTCCTCCTCCCTCCTCCTCCTCCTCCTCCTCCTCCTCCTCCTCCTCCTCCTCCTCCTCCTCTCCGCATCCTCCTCCTCCGCATCCTACACCCACCACCACCACCTCCTCCTCCTCCGTTCCTCCTCCTCATCCTCCTCCTCCTCCTCCTCAGCATCATCATCATCATCATCATCATCATCATCATCATCATCATCATCATCA